TTGTATAGATGATTGATCACTCCTCTTATGTACTTGGAGCTGATGAAAAGATCCCTGAAAGGCTGAGAAAATTACAGCCCTCTCAGCCAACTGGTGAACACTGCCATGCCAACACGCCCCGAGCAGCTCTACGCAAAACCACACTCGGTACATCTGGACGTAAGGCCGTCTTTACTGATTCAGATGAATAGTATATGGGTGTAAATGGATGAAGCCATAATCACACATTTAATAGGCATTAAATATAAATGCGTCAACACACCACTTGGAGCACTCTGAGTGCAGCCAGGCAGAACTGATCAGCAGTGACGTCTGCGCTTTTTTCCCCCGCTTTTTGCTCGTTTAATGGACAGCCTTCCCATGACACAAGCCTGTACTGTACATGTTGATGTGTAGATGTGAATGGACTGGCTTCTTTTAAGATGTCCTAGAAGACTATTTTGGCATTCATAAAGGTGATCACTCCGAATGTGTGCCTAGGATTCATCATGTGGCTTCAGACGTTGTACTGCCAGTGTCACCCACTTCCCTACTCAGCAGAATCAGGGGGGAAAAAAACCTCAAATGATCCTGAGCAGCATTGTGCAATACATAACCACTGATGCCTGCATACTTTGGCTGGACATATGCATACTTTGGCCTGATGTTTTTGTAGTAGGCCTACGTCCACATCTGATTCATGTTGTGCTTTTGTAAGTGAGCCAGTGGATTAAACTTAATTGAACTCAGATTAGGTGGCTTTGACCTACAGTAGTGGAACTTTTATTAAAGCAGAGGCCTACGTTTTAAAAAACAAGCTCTTTTTGCACTTACTCTATAGCTGACTTATTTATCTCACCATGAAACTCCCTGACCACTTTTTCCCCTTCTGTACAGCCAAAAAGCCAGCCAAATATTTTCATAGGAAATAATGAAATTCCTGAAATTATTAGGAGGGAAACCTTATATCATCTGTTTTCCTTAGATTTGTCCCCTGAGCTGGCTTCCACAGTTTCACAAGTGAAATTCTGCCGCCTTTTGATACTGCCCAACTGTTTATTTTCATTTTCCATTTTCCATTTTTTTTTAAAGAAAATACATTATTCCAAGTATTGCAGTACATAGGTTTACTTTGGTGCTGCTTAAGTGCAATCTTACTATAGTCCTTGTGATTTTATTCGTCTTTATCATCTTTATTATTATTTTAATTTTTAATGCAGTGATTTAAACTATATTCACCATATACAATACTTAACAAATTTATTAAAACAAATTTATGTAAGGTTTTTAACAAATTATGGTTTGTGCCACTGCTGCTCTAAACTAACAGTACTGGTGATTACCAAAATCATTTTTTAGCTTTCTGTATGGGTTAGTCCTCCAATATGCGTAAGCTCTTTAGTAACAGTAGTAGGCTGTTTCTAATGCTATAATATAATTATTGCTGTTATCTATGAAAGAAAGGCAGAGAGCTTTATAGTGTTTTTTTTTCAGATACCCAATTACAGTCAAAAAGTACTTAAACAATGCCAGCAAGAACGCAAGCTATGAAAGGCATAGGAGGCCATTTTGGTTATGTGAATAAATAAAAGTATTTAGTTATAAATAAATGACAATAAAAATTTTTTGATTTAAACAATTTTTTGACAGATTCCTAAAATTCCTAAAATGTGTTTTCTCTTTATTATGGCAGGGGGGCTAATAAATTGTTAAGCACTGTATGTTTTCATAGCATTCAGTTGGAACGTTTGTTTTAAGGACATTGGGCAGAATGTAGAATAGTGTGTTTTTGTCAATAAAATAAAAAGAAAATGGTTTGTTTTAATCCGATTAATCGGTTAATCGGGAAAAAATAATCGACCAACTAATCGATTATCAATATAATCGTTAGTTGCAGCCCTAGTCCAGATAAACCAGTAACATGCATGCTTATAAGTCAAAAAGTGAATGGTTCTTTTCTGTGATCATAACAGTAATGTTCCTTGTAAGAATATCTGTTCTATTTTGAGTTCTTTTCTGAATATGTGTGGAATGAAGCAGGTAATTTGAGATCTGTACCACACAAGATGTTTCCACGCTGTGCTGCATCTCATTGGCAGCTGTGTTGGCTTGTAACGTCACCACCACAGCTAATCATCAGTGTTCTGCCTAGAGAACATCACACCCTCTGCCATGTTTGTTCATATTTGTGCAACATAATCACGTCTCTGTCGTTTGCTTTCAGTCACACAGGAGGAGTGGTAGATGGGGCAATGAAATGACAACCTTTTTGGTCCACATCTAGTAATTTATTTAAAAATATATAGAATTAAAATACATTATTGAAAATGCATTTCATACATATAATGACTTGAATACACTTCTTCTATGATGAGAATGTTTTTAATTTTTTAAATCTTTTTGATCTTGTGTTTTTAATCTTCAGTTATTAGAATATTAGAATGATTTCTTAAGGATCATGTGACACTGAAGACTGGAGTAATAGCTGCTGAAAATTCAGCTTTGCCATCACAGGAATAAATTGCATTTTAATATGCAATTTTATATAAAATATGTAAGAAAACTAGTTTTAAGTTGTATGAACATTTCAGAATATCACTGATTTTACTGCATTTTTGGTCAAACAAATGCAGCCTGCAAATGCAGTAAGCATAAGAGACTTCTTGCAAGAACTTAACTGCCCCACTGCTGCTCAGCCAACATATATACCGTATGTATACGTGTGTGTGTGTGTGTGTGTTGGTGGTGTTATTGGGATTTACAATAACCAACATGCTTTAAAAAAGCAAGATTTTGTGTATGATTGGAAATGTATCCAGTTAAACGCAAATTTACTAGACTTACTCTCCTTCTTTTGAACTGTCATGAGGCTTCTAGTGTTTCTCTTTTATGACAGAGAGTGATGACTTTACAAGACATAGTGCCACGGTATAAGGCTTATGAGAAAATAAATACCAGGAAATGGTCATCCTGTCTTCTAGACCCACGTCTTCCTTAGAAGGTTAATACATCAAGAACAACTACAAAGTAATACATACATTTTCATAATGTCTCGGCTAACCCAGGGTTTAGCAGCATGACAACAGAGACCGTGTTTGATTGGTCCTCAAGGTGAACTGGCTAACAGATGTTGCTCTTAAGATGAGGAATGAGACCTGGCTGTTTTTTCTCTCTCAATGAATAGTGGAGGTGGGTGTTTACTACATTTGAAAGCATTGGAGTTAGGGACTCAGCTCCGCTTGTGTTCATTTTTGTTCCAGCATTTTTCAAAAGGGGAAATGTTTTGAGAGAATTAAGTGGGGCCTCCCGTAAAGACAGAGGAGGTTAAAGGAGAGGCGATATAGAATACTATACGTCTGCGCAAATATGAATATATTCATGCTTACATGCTGTTGTACTTATGGAAATGTACATCTTCAGCAAGCCAGCATTCATCACTGCAGAGAGGCTTGTCTTTGTTTGACTTGCATGACAGTTATCACTGCAGGGGAAAGGCTTGCATGGGAATAACATGCCCAGTGTGTTTGAGGTGAAATAATAAGCATTTTAAGGGGGCCGTGTTTGGAACTATCCAAATGACACAATGCATTCCTAACTAGACAGGGCCAGTGACCTCTGACCTCAGCTCTGGCTGCAAAGCGGGGCTCAGGTTTCCTTCCAAATACAAACTCTGTGTGACAGCCTCACTAGAGCCGTTAAATTACAGAACACTGCTTCTCTTGACAAACATTTACACACACACACACACACACACACACATGATCTTTGTGTACTTTCTGTATGCACTTTCCCATCTATCTTGACTGATGTATTTCATTAATATATTACTTCAAAATGTGGTAATTATATTCACACTTAAATTAAATGTTTAGAGTCAAATAAACAAAATGTGCCATTTGTAAATCCAGTGATTCATATAGATATAGATTTTCCTATTTCAGTCAATTCTGACGCGCAAGCTCCCAGTTTGATTCCAGTTCATTTGGGTATTTCAGTTATGATGCTTATTAAAAGAGGTGGCTAATAAATGTGCTCTCACAAACATTTTAGTGAAATTTCGGTGAAATATTGTGTGCAAAAATAGTCCATTAAAGTTTGTCATTAGTATAGAGATGTAAAAAGCACAGTTCACTCAGAAGTTAATTTCAAAACAAGCATCTTTCTGTTGGTTAAGGCAAATCTGTGAAAAACCTGGTGTGAAATGTGTGTGGGGAAATCTTTTGTCTTCAAGCGAAATTCCCAATTGTGACTGGTTTTCACCCACAAAAAATTGCCGAACAGTGGTAAATGTGCACCTTTATGAGTGAGTTATTTTTTTAGCGACTCAGAAAAACTGTGCAAGTTGTGTGACCAGTGTAGCCCAATGAATGACTCTTAAGATGTGGTCAGAAGAGTCACAAGAGTCATTTGCTGGTGAATCAGACAATACTGGTCACGTCATGTTTGTATTTGTGTGCAGCTCATTAGAACAACTCAACAGAAAAATCATGTTTTGCCATTTTACAGAGAAATTCTTATTGCATCACATTCAATAAAGACTGTAATCTCAAACTTAAAGCTATGATTTCTTTTGCTGTTGCACTTAAGATTCAACAGTGGGAAAGCAGTGAAAATTAATGAAGGAAAATCCTAACAGGAAAACCCTAACCTAGTATATTACAAACATAATAATTGTAAAAAATAAGCAACAGAGTCCAAACTACGTAGCTGAGTCAGTTAGCTGAGCAGAATACAGTGACATCTGCGAGACGTGAAGCACTGTACAAATACAATATTATGCAGCCACTGTAAATAGGCATAAAAACAATGCTGCCATTTTAATAATCATGATGAGTGAATGTAAGATGGTTGGAAATATAAGAACATATGCACGAAAGTACAAGCGACAGCTGGTCAGCTGGAATTAATTATTTTGTAAAGAATTCTATGTTTGATTGTAAGGTCTGGTTTACATTATACATTTATGATTTTGAACACATTTTGAATATCTGGCGTGTTAATAAGTCTTTCTTGTTCTGTAGGGCTTACATGAACGTGAAGGAGCTGAAAGAGGTTTTGAATTTGGATGGATCTACACACTTGAACATCTTCTTTGCTAACTCATCTGATGAAGACGTGGCTGGTGTGGGCACTTGGCCCTGGGATAAAGAAGCTTTAACACATTTAGGTAAATAAATAGATGCACCACTACAATGTAGACAACAACCATTGGTTTAGCATCCTTTATATTGTAGTTTTAAAGCGTTTGAAGAGCATTGCATATCAACTTTCACTGTCATCAGAAAAAAAGACATTAAACAGGTACCAAAAAAATAATGCTTTTAATACCTGTTCTCGCTCTGTCTTTTTTTTAGGTGGGATTGTATTAAACCCTTCATTTTATGGTACATTTGGCCACACTCACACCATGGTACATGAGATTGGCCACAGCCTTGGACTGTACCATGTCTTCAGGGGAATCTCAGAAGTGGAGTCCTGTAACGATGCCTGCTTAGAGACTGAGCCTTCTCTTGAGACAGGAGATCTGTGTGTAGATACTAATCCCACACCCAAGTACAAGTACTGTAGAGATCCTGAGCCAGGCAACGACACCTGCGGCAGACGTCATTTCATAAACACCCCCTTCAACAATTACATGAGCTATGCTGGTGAGACATATATCAGCTGTAAATGTCTGCTGAGATGAAGTCTTCTGCAGACTTTTTTTTTTTTTTTTGCATTTTCTGCACTGACTTGGACATGAAATCTGTGAATTGAATTTAAAATTAGTATAACATCTGACATTCTTTGTTCGTTTTGTTCCCATAAAGATGATGTCTGCACAGATTCCTTCACGCTGAACCAGGTGGCACGGATGCACTGTTACCTGGATCTGATCTACCAGTCTTGGAGACCTGGAAGTAAACCAGCTCCTGTTCCTCTAACTCCTCGAGTTACAGCCCAGGACCAAGACTCTATTACACTAGAGTGGTTCCCTGCCCTCACCGGCCATTACTTAGACAGGTGAAAAGAACTAGGAGCCAAAGCTGTTCCTAGATAGATTATTAATTCATTTTATTAATCAATAAATTATTTATTAAAATATTAATTTAAAATTAATAAAATAATTAAATATGTATTCAAATGTTAACACATGACTTCCAACATAATGAAAAATTTTACATTCATTAAAATTGTGAAACCCAAGAAGTGACATTATTTGCATTGTAAGTTATTGAAGAAAATAAATAAATAAAATGAATTAAAATGTATTAAGAAAAAAAGATATCTTGCAAAAATGACAAATATTTAGCAAATGATATGTTGTACAACATTTGATTTAAATTTGAAATGCTGTTACCCAGTCTGGTGTAGTTTAAAATATAAACTTTATTTATTTAGTTATTGTTTATTTTTATGTTTATTTAATGTTTATCTCTGGAACATTACAAAATCAGGATTTTAAACTTTATGTAGAAATGTCCCACCAAAAACATAAACTTATATAAACTTCATAGAAATAAAACATAGCCTGTATATCAAAATAAATCTAACTATATATATTTATTTGTTTAGATAACATTTATAGAACATTTAGTTTGACCTCCTGGGGTTGACAGCCAGCATTTTCTGCTCCTTTCAGTAAAGATGTATTTAAAAGAACAAAGAAAATAAAAATGTTTTAGGGTCTCTTTTGTTCAAACTACAAAATGTTTTGTACAAAGAAAGCAACCTAATATCAAACATATGATGATTAACAACATGATAAAAACCTGATACAAAAAAAAATGCACTATATTGATTTTGTGATGTTTTGAGTGTGTTTAAGGCTTTTTTCAACTAATTGATTTTTATATATTTAATTAGGTTTAATTAGTTAAAATCCAGAAATTTTTATATAATGTAAGTGCCCCAGTTAAAATGAATAGTGAGATGCTAAACAAATCAAGGTCAATCATGTCAACAACAATTAGTATGTAGTTTATTTAGTGCAGTAGTATACATGGCACACACAGGTTGAAGTCATAGTGGACCAATAGAGAGGTGTGAGTCATTTAAATCAGAATTTCTCTCTCATCAACATAGAAACTGTTTTATCCATTTTTAAAGCCATCATGAGGTTGTTGTGGTGTTGCTGTGTCTAAGTTGCTACCTTGGCTGTCTGTTGATTTCCTAGAGAAGTGGGATCAGTTTGTGACAGATGTACTGAAGTTGGGGTGCTCCTGCAGTATGCCTCAAACTCCTCTTCTCCCAGACCCTGCGCTCCCTCTGGCTACTGGAGCCCTCGTGAAGCAGAAGGTAAGACTCAATAATGCTGATGAATCATTAGCCTAAAATATTATACATAAACCCCGCAATAGATGCCTTCTTGGTTTGACTGATATGCACTTTTAAGGTCAGGTTTTTTGTAAAAGCAGACTGACCAGGGGTGCATTTTTAAAAGCATTGTTAACCAACTGTGTTTGCGAGTTCCGTTGTTACCAAAATGGCAAGAAACAAAAAGCAGTGAAGTAGTCCTCAGATGCTATGTTTGTTAGAGCAGCATCTCAGAAATCTTCAATCGATCAATTAATAGAAGTTATTATTCCACCACCTGTGCATGATGTCATTAACAGCAGTCCTGTATCAACGTGGTTCAAACGATGGAGGTGCGACCGTGTTACTACGCGGATTCAGGGAAACAGTCGCATAGCTAGTTGGTTAGTTTCTCTATCGATGCATTATACTATGCTACTTAATCAGTGAGTTACATCATTGTATTGTAAACGCACACCAGTCCAAAATACAAATGCTTTATTGATTTAACTCTGTCAGCTTTTTTATTTTATTTTATTGCAGTTCTGTCCACGAAATGCTCTAGAACATAACAATAGACTAATAACTTTTTAACACATTAAGTCATAATAAATCTCATTGCATATGATGAGACTTACAGGCCATTTAGTGGTTTTGTTAGTGGCCTACTGAGTGGCGGCATTTCACGAAAACCTAGAGTATGGCATAATTCTCTGTGACCATACATACAACCACAACATTCCTGAACGATAAACCCACATTATACCTAAACAAATGTGCATGATGCACTATTAAATCAAATTAGCCGTGAACAGCATTAAATATAAAAACACGTCTTACCTTGTCTGTGCTGTTTTTATTGCATAAGTGGGTAGCAGCGAGGTGGGAGCTAATCAAAAATATGCATGATAATTGATGCAATAAACTGCGACTGCACACACTCCACACAGAGAAAATTATTAAGAATTACTTTCGCAATAATGCATACATGTATACAATTATATGATTTTGTTAAATCTGCCATTATGATGTCTACGTAGTTAAAATAATAACAATAAAGAAACATTTTAATGTCCAAAACACAGGTAAAAACTACGCTAACCACAATCCTGACGCAAGATCCAATCAGAGAAGTCGCCATTATCATGACAGCAGTGCTCATCGCGACAGATCCTGCTACCTTGAATTGTCACTATTAGGAAACTCGACCTAGCAATGTTCAGGTCTGTTTCTGTTGACACTTGGAAATTGTGTTCAATTGGTTAGTGCCGTTCAAAACCATTAATGTCCAGTTTTATTGAGTGGGATAAATGATTAAAGCATTGCACCCAATTCAGGTTGCCAAGTGAGGCCAATATTGGATGGAACAGCAAAGTAATCTATGAGGAGAAGAACTAAAAAGTGTGGAAAAAATTAGTCATAGGAGTTGTCGTAAATTTCGATTTTCTCATGTGTTTATTTTAAGGCTAGAAAAATGTGGACATATGGAAGAATTGGTCCATAGAGCTTTGTGCACATGAATGTTTTTTACCACGGGGAATGAGTCATGTTTTCCTGCGCTGTATCAATGATCTTGCCCTTGTAGTTCAACCTTTGATCTGGTATCACAGAACGAAGCCAAACTGCCATGGTCAGGCTATTCTTATTGGAATTCCGAGGCATCCGTTTTTTATCCAGTTATTTTATGAGTGCAGAGTATCTGTATTACCTACCCAACTTCCCCAAGCGCTGAAGAAACACTAGGCACTAACAGCCATGACATATGCCCACTATTTTAGCTCAAACTGCAAAAGCTCTTGAAAAAATGAATTGGACTTGACATTGAAATGTTGAAAACAACTTCAGAGACCTACATTCCAGAGGCCGGCTGTTTTTCTGTTTAATTACTTAATCACTTCATTTGGGTTGGTTTTAAAAATAGGTGAGTCAGACTTGTGGCGGGTAGAGCCATAAGTGCATGCTTGTATCCCTCAAAGCCAAGTTGGCCCAGCAGTGGCTACACGCAGTCAGCTGAGAAGGCATGCCCAGGCTTGCCATGGCCACAGCGCTTTAACTATGCTTTGCATTTGGATGGCTTCCCTGGTGTACTCCATTGCCCGGGCCATCTTTCCACTGTTTACAATCGGATACAAAACCTGACTTTGACGACCTGCAGCTGGCTTGAACCTCTGCCCTTCACCGCTCTCAGAAAATCACCTGCCTGCAGTGCTTACCTCATCTAATGCATGCCCCCTGTCCTCAGTCATCTAGGTTAAAAAAGCCAGTTTTTCCTCCCGTTCAAGTGTCCTTAGTTGGCTTTTTGGAAACGAGCGTTATGGCAGCGATGCCCTTATCATGTTGCTGGAATTCAATAAAAGAACAACACAGGCACAACAAATAGATGGATGTGAGAGTGCTGTGCAAAGTCAACCTGATTTGCTACGCAAATTACTCTGTGGTTTCTTGTGCTCATAAGAAAGATCCCACAGTTGATTGAAAACATGAAGAAGACAAGAATAAATGTGAGGCACAAAACCAGGAATGCTAGGAATGACTTGTGTCTCCGTCCCACTTTTACCTCAACGCTTTGTTTGTCTGCCATGCCCTCATTGCCCAGTTCCTGATTGTGTCAGTGAGCCTTGCTGAGTGCTTGCAAGTGTTTCCAGTATGAATATCAATAATCTTTTTTTTATTATTATTTAGATCCTAACTTTTTGGTTTGCTTGATGTGAGTTTGGCTCATTTGGTGAGAGGCTTATGATATAATTTCAGTTTTGTTTTGGAATGTCCAGTTCTGCTTGATGGCTCGCACTATTTCTGGCTTTGTCCTTTCCCCCTTTTACATCTAATATTTCTTCTAATATTCCCTTGATCAGCAGCTGAGGTACATGGGGGATCTATGTGGGAGACATTTAGCAAAAATTTGTGCATTTGATACTGCAAAAATGCATCTAGTTTCAGAACATCCCAGTTTGTTATGGCCATCTAATTGAGCAACAAATACTCACCCTAGAACAACGGTGATATCTGAGTCAGATGTGCGAGGGAGGTTACCTAGATGCTTGGCTGAGGTCAACCAAATAAACATGAACAAAACTTTTGGCCAAAGCTTTTTCCATTTGTCATTTAACTTGTAGTCAGACTACAAATGGTGCTTGACTGAGGTCAACCAAAATAAACGTGAAAGAAGCTTTTACCTCACCTTTTTTTCCATTTGTCATGCAACCAGTCAGATCAAAAACCAGCATTTTAAAAGCAACAGTGGCTTCAAAAAGGGATGCTTGAGCCACACTTTAAATTAAATACAATTAAGGAAATATCAAAGAGAAAGACACATTTTTTGGCGCAAAACAGAAAAAGAAGCTTGGTAGTTTTTTTTTTCCTTTCTTTCTTTCTTGTTTTTAAGCATTTTTCTCATCACAATATGAACAGTCATACAGAATACACACATTTTAGACAGGAACAGGATCAAAATAAAACCAAAGAAATAAATAATGGCAGAGCAGATGTAAAAAAAAAAAAAATACAAAAGTATAAAAAAATATGGCAGTCTATTGGGCATCTTTAGGAAAGTCCCACATGGAAGTTTTTCCATTGCAAGGATTTTAGCATGCTTTATCCACGTTTTAGTTTATTAGGCTTTTATTTCAAACAAAGATGTGCTGTTCAAAATGAAGATAAAGTAATTAGAGATTTTCTGGTTGTGCTTCATTAGCCTTAGTGAAATATGTCCGTAGTTAATGTGATGAGCTACACTTGTGTGTGAGTGTGAGCTTGAGGAGAACTAACTTCATACATCCACTAAAATCACTACAACACCAGCTGGTTAAAAGTCATAGCCAAAAAGGTTCAGGAAAATTAGGCTAGTTCTAAGAAAAATTCTAGCATCATATATTTTCAGGTGCCATTTGGTATTTTCATAGCCAGTGCAATCACACATATTTAAGTGAGGCTTATGAGTGTCCAAACTATATTGTTTGCATCATCTTAGTGGTATTTTAAATGAATGTAAGATGGAGGATCATCAGCTTATTTAGAAATATTTTTGGAAATATTTTTGAAATATTTTTAGCTATATATAGCAACATTATTCTGCAAGCCAACAAAGGTGGATGGAATTAAATTAATAATGCTCTACAGAAACTCATCATTATTATATCAATTTAGAATTATCTTTACTTATTATAGCCGCAAGCTTGTAGCTGTTGGCCACTGCTGTAGGTCTCATTTAAGCAGATTTTCCTTCAGAGATTCAGTGGGGCCTCCCTGTCAAGCTCGTCCCCTCTTCGGGACCCTCCCCCTTCAGCTGCCTCACAATGACCTCTTGACAGTTTCTAAAAAGGAAAAACTGGGCCCAGGGCCAGAATTCTCCCCATGACCTCCTGCCGTCTCACCGAAGAACATCATTTGGCCCTCTTAGAAACTGTTTGTTTTTGAAATGCCATTCATTAATCCAAAAACCCAAAAATCGTATGCAATAGTCATTGCAATTGATATTGTTCAGGGTAATTTCTACAGTCTTTTATGTTCATCTGTAAATAATTAGCACTGCTTGCTAAGGCAAACATGGGTATTACTATTGGTCATACTTAGGTTTAAAGGTTTAACCGCATTGCAATACCCTGGCAAGCATGCTAGCATCCTGGCGGCATCAATGTACCCCTCTTATTTTCATAGGAACAGTCTTGATTTTCATCCTTTGCTGTCCTCCTTAGGTCCACCAAACATAGAAGGATTCAGTAGAAGGACTGACTCATTTAGAGTAATTTGTTTGTGAATTGGACTACACTGCTTGCACTGTATGTGTTTGAGTTACTAAAAACAATCAGTTCATAAGAGTCATTTGTGTGTGAATCAAACAACACTGGTCATGCTGTATGTTGTGTACAGGGCATTTAGATGGAAAAACATTTCCGATTAAAAGCCTAGAGAAAAAAGTCTTGATTTTCATCCTTTGCTGTCCTCCTTAGGTCCACTAGACATAGAAAGATTCAGTAGAAGGATTGACTCATTTAGAGTCATTTGTTTGTGAATAGGACTACACGGCTACACTAAAAAGAATCAGAGAGTCTTGTGTGTGTCTTTAAAAAATGTGGGCCTAGTAAACATCCATTATTTCTTTTTGGCAATAGTACTATTGTTCATACTTTAAGGGTTTAAGGGTTTTCAACCGCATAGCAATACCCTGGCAAGCACGCTAACATCCTGGCAGCAACAATATACCCCTCTCATTTTCATAATCTCACAGTGTCTTAGGGGAAATAACATGACATTAACTTGTGCTAAGTTTGAAACATGTTGACTAGAGAAAAGAGTCTTGGTTTTATTCTTTGCTGTCTTCTTTAGGTCCACCAGACGTAGAGCAGGCCTGTGAAGCGAGTGTCAGCACTTGGAGCCCCAACGCTGGCCTAGACTCAAGTAGTGTTGGCTCAGCATCTTGCTCACCCCAGGGCTGTATGCTGCAGCTCGTGTTTGCCTATCCACTGGTGCCTGACTCCCTCACAGTTTGGGTCACCTTCTTCTCTCCGGAGGAGACTGGACTTCCTGCAGTTCACGACATCCTTCTGCTGACCCTCAGTGGTAACAACATCTCGCTGGGTCCACAGTATGTGTTCTGTGACACACCGTTGACGCTTAAACTAGATGTGAAGGAGGAGGTGTATGGGGTGCAGTTCTTCACCATGGAGCAGCACTTGGAAATCGACGCCACATTGCTCGCCTCAAAGCCAGACAATCCTCTGTGCCGGTCGTGTCATCCTCTACGCTATAGACTGATTCGTCAGCCACCGTTCGCTCATTCACCACATGGGCTGATCCTTCAGGAACCCACTCTGAGATATGTGGACAGGTAAGGATTAGGGGTGCTTATATTATTTATATACTACCATAGTTTTTATCAATATTTTTGAATGAACTTTTCATTTTAGTTTTTTTTTTGTTGTAATTTTGTTATGTGCTTTTTTTAATATACTACTTTTATGGTTTAATTTATTTTTATTTTTATTTCAGTTTTGGTTTTTATTTATTTTATTTCCAGTTAGTATTTTGAACGCTTCAACTTATTGAAAATGAAATATTGCCCTGGCAACTAACTGAAATAAGTTTAAGTTTTTATATAATATTCATATTTTATTTTATTTCAGCTTTATTTCACTTATCAAAAATTTTAATAATTTTAGTTAATACAACATCCAACATGCCTCAAACATGGCCTGATACAATTATAATTTGATTAGATTCAGGGGCCTGTGATCAATATAATAATATTACAATATTATTTGTCTATTTTACACAACCAGTTAAATTTATATTAGCTCACAAATGCAATCAAAATATAACATGAACATTTAATTTAATTTAACTCTGTGAAAATTGCAATCCTGTATCCCAGTTTGGACACTTCCAACTTAAAATACACTTTAGTGTTTAAAGGGGTCATATGATGCGATTTCAAGTTTTCCTTTCTCTTTGAAGTGTTACAAGCTGTTAATGCATAGATAAGATCCCTAAAGTTGCAAAGACTAAAGTCTCAAACAGTCCCAAAGAGATATTTTTTATAAAAGTTAAGACTCGTCCACGCCCTCCTAAAACGCCTCGTTCAAACACGCCCCCACATGTCTACATCACTGTGTGGGAAGATTTGCATAACACCGTCCAAATGTATATGCAAAGAAAGAAGGCGTAACTTTGATTCTCGCTGTAGTATTGTTGCCGCCGCCGCCGCCATGTCGTGGAGACGCTGTGTGTTTCGTTGTGAAAGTGAAACTACTTTGGTTGGTTTTCCAAAAGAGGACACAACTAGAAATCAGTGGTTAAGTTGTATTTACAACACTGTTCCAGAACAGTTTATGTTTACGCGGCGCAATGCAATGCAACGCAACGCGTAAAAAGACAGTATAAGTCATTATAATCAGTAATTATGTCCCCACTGGATGCAACAAATGCCTCGTTTGTAATGAGTTTTATTGTTTTTGTGTCATCGCGCCGGGACACGGCATCACAGTATGGTAAAGCCGCCTTTCCACTGTCTCCGACGAACGACAAGCGACAGACCGGAAGTCATTCATTTAGAATGGAGAGTAGTGCGGGAGCTGCGTGGAGTTCCGATCATAAAAACTATGAGCGTAAGGTTAGAATTACCAATATTTTGTTCACTTTAACATTATTCTTTAAACACTATTTCTGTAAAATGGTGCTTTTGAATAATTATGGCAGAAATAATTATTTTATAATTATTAAATCATTATTTATGTTGATTAGCCCCATAAAACCTACTATGTTTTTATTTTGGTTGTCATTTGTTTTGTGATGATACATTCATACATTAATTGTATTCATTAAAATCATTAATTTTACCATGGTGAATATGCCGAGGTAACGGTTGCTGCACGACCAATTTGAAAGGACTGTGCGACTGCCACTAGGGGGAGAAATGCGACAGTCGTGTCCGAATGTCTTGTGCAGTGGAAAGGCAGCTTAAAGGGGTCATATGATGCGAAGGGGGCTTTGTAGAAAACGAAGCGTTTGAGAGAGGCGGGGCATAGAGGACCTACAATAATGTACAGTATTTGAAAAATAATGTGTTTTTTGAACATTAAAGCATGTCAACATATTCTGTTACACCAAATACACAAAATAATGATCTTTAAAAAAGCATCATATGACCCCTTTAAGGGGCGTAACAATTCTGTCACACGCTTGAGGTAGTCGGCCAATCACAACGCACTGGATAGCTGGCCAATCAGAGCACACCTCGCTTTTCAGAACGATGAGCTTTGTAAAAATCGACGCATTTCAGAAAAGCGGGGCATAGAGGAGCAACAATAATGTACAGTATGTGGAAAATAATGTGTTTTTTTAACCTTAAACCGCATAAACACATTGCATTACACCAAAAACACAAAATAATGTTCTTTTTAGCAACGCCATATGACCCCTTTTTAAATAATATAGAAAAAGAAATGATGAAAAAAAAAATCAAGTTGCACATGAGATCATGAATCACAGCTCATCATTGGCTTTTGGATTGAGATAAGCAATGACAACAGTAAGGAAAGACTTTCAGTCTTCTGTGCTTCCCATGACTTGAGTTTGACAGGAGAGAATACATTATCTGTTTTTTGACTGCCGACAGTAATGCTAGGTTGCTGCATCATGATCGTAGGGCACTTGTACAGTTTAAAAGAGAATGCACACTTTGGTGGAAATGCGTAGAACAGTCACGGGCAATGTGTGGAAATATGGCTAACATTAAAAATAAATGTTCAAAAGTTAATCTTAAAAACATTTTAGGCATTGCATTGATACTTTGTATTGTTAGTCATTTGATTGATGTATCAATACACATCAATGTATCGTTACACCCCTAGTAAGGATGAAATATTTGTCTCTCTATTATAAATGATTTTTACTGGCAAACTTAGATGTATGAACTCTTAAAGAGGCTCTGAAAAGTTTTTTTGTGTGTGTGTCAACATGACTGCCAACATAAAGAAGTTATGACCATTTATATGGCACTAACACTATTCAAGACATTTCTAGGAACACTGGCACATAATGTCTTTGCTTTTGCCATATGTTGATGAGCTTTGCCATTGTATGAATGTCTCTTAGGTACTATGTGTGAGGTCTTCAAACATTTTTACTCCTTGGGCTGGGGGTTCAGGTCAGCTCTAAGAATTTCACAGCCAGCTTGTTGTCATCTGAGAGATACATGCTGAAGTGCTCCCAGGCAGTTTAACTTCATGGGATACTCATAAATTCTGAGAGGCCACAAAACAGTTGGAGAGTGTTTGAAGAGCCTCTGCCTCTTTGATGACAGCACAAACAGGCAGACAGATTGACAGGCTGACTCCAACTCGATGAATTGGACTACACAGCTTATGCTATATGTTTTTGATTCACTAAAAATAATCAATTCATAAGAGTCATTGGTTTGTGAATCAGACTACACTGTTTGTGCTATGTGTTTCTGATTCACTAAAAAGAATCAGTTCAGAGTCATTTGTGTGTGAATGAGACAACACTGGTCACGCTGTATATTGTGTGCAGTCTGCAAGGGCATTAAGATGTATAGACATTTTCAATTAATTGGCAATGTTTCCCATGTTTTTTTTTTTTGTTTAATTCCCCAAACACAAGTTGTGAACCTTCACAATGATTTTGGGATAATTTCTTGAAATAACTAAAGTAACAATTATGAAACTTGCAGAAGTAGTATCCAATTTAATTTTTTTTTAAATCTGTAAAAATGGCCTATTGAGCATCCATTATTTCTTTCTGGGAAATATGCCTCATTAACAGGACATTAATGAAGACTTTGGTCATTTAGTAGGCAGGCATTGTGTCTGCCTCCTTTTGTGCTTTTTTTTCCACCACACCTCAGTTGGCAGGCTGCCAATAATGTACATTAGCTTTCACAAAAAATCTACTCAGTGCATACTGTATAAACAAGACCCAATGTGAACTCACTGAACTTCACTGTCCTCACACTGGGCTGTTTTGGGTGTCTTTTCTTGTTTCCAAAAAGTTGGCTGACAAGTGAAACTACAGTAAATACGGTGACAGCTGCAGCAGCAGTAAGTTAGAAAAAAGACATGCAGATCTTTTCATCTGAACAAATAAATATCTACATATTATATACTGTATATATATATATATATATATATATATATATATATATATATTTAGAATTGAAAATAGTCTTAACAAATCATTGCAGAATTAAAGTAGTATTTATACTGACATTATCGAAACATACATTAAAGCTGTGTTTAGTTTGTAGTAGCACAATCCAAGTTGTGTTAGCGAGGTATCCAGATACATCAACCAACAGCTTAATCTGCTCAGATAATGTGTTTTTTCTTAATTGAAAAGGTTTGTTTTATATATTAATGCTGCACAGCTGTATTCACCAGATGGTGAGAAAATGTATCAGTGTATCAGCAGGCTTGTACAGCTCTGGGATCAGCGAAAAACTCCCCTCATCTGAAATTCGCAAAAGCTGTTGTAAGGAGCAATACAGCGTCTTTCAGAAAGACTTCCACTTCAGCTAAAAGCTAAATCCAGGAAATTCATTATTCAGTATCAGCACAAGCGATTCCTCGAGATAGGCTTTCTTATGGGAATTTTACAACTTCTATATGTTTGACTTTTTTTAGTACTGTTATTTTATTATTGCACTGAGGCTAGTCTAAAGGAATTTAGTGCAGTAGTTGGATTCGGCATGAGCAGCAATAAGGCCTGGGGCCAGTCTGAGTCGAAGAAACAGTGTTGTTTTGCTCCTAAATCGTACATTATTTGATCTTATTCAAGTTTGAATTGGTGATTAACTTGTCATCCAAGATAGATGGTTTTTTTTTTTTTTTTTCTCAAAACTCGCACAATTTTCCAGAAAATGTGTGTGATTTTATTGCTTTCATGGAGTTTTATTATAGCTGTATAATTGTTTGGAAAGAGAATGTCACGGTGTATTGACAAAGAAGATGAATATATTCCAACACAAAGTTTAATCACAATAATCCACACAAGAGATAATCCAAAAGGGCAGGGAAACACACATAAATGCAAACGGTGACCGGACCAGGACTGAAAAGAAGAGGGAGAACTTATACAAGAACTAAACGAGGGAACTAATGAGATAATAAACGAACACAGGTGAACTGAATGAACTAATCAAAGGAAGACAAATACTAGGTCACGGGAACTAAAATGAAAACAAACTTAAAATCCATAAGTGACAGAGAAGTATTAAAATATAGAATATAAAAATTAGAATAAAAATCTATAGAATTTATAAACTGCAATATAAATGTAATACTTTTAAATTGATACAATTTGTTTAGTTTA